CCTATTCTGTTCCATGGATCTATGTGTCTGTTTTTTGTTTGTTTGTGCTGACTCCATACTATTTTAATTACTATAGCTTTGCTGCCTTCAATATTCCCTCTTTAATTTTTCAATTTTAATTACAATATGTCTTGGTGTGTGTCTCTTTGGGTTCATCTTGTTTGGAAGTTTAGGAAAGTTTTCAGCCATTAAGGTCCCTTAAACTATCCTCATTTTTAAAAATTCCTTTCTTCTTTTTTTCTTTTCTGACTGGGTGATCTCCACTATTTTGTCTTCCGGGCCACTAATCTATTCTTCTGTATTATTTACCTGCTATTTATTCCATATATATATTATTTCATGTATATATTTATTCCATATATATATTCAGTTATTATATTTTTCAGCTCTGATTGGTTTTGTATTATACATTCTAACTCTTTGTTGATGCTCTCACATAGTTTCTCTTTTCTTCTCCCAAATTTGATGAGCAGCCTTAAGACTATTACTTGGAATTCTTTATCAGACAAATTAGTAATCTCCATTTCATTAGGGGTTTTTACTCTGTTTTTTTTTTCTTGTTCTTTAATTTGTAACATATTGCTTTGCCTTTTCATTTTATTTTACTTTCTATGTTTGTTTCTAAGTATTAGATGAAACAGCTTTCTCTTCCAATCTTGAAAGCATTGACTTGAATAGGAGCAACCTTTTTGTGGATGCTGGGTGGGTTTTGTCATGCCAGTTGGAATGTAAGTGGGTGTGTGTGCCTCTTGGGCCACTCTGGTGGGCCAGCTGGCTGGGGCTGCAGCAAGTGCTGGCCGAGGTGGCCATGGCATGCTGTTGGAGACCTTGCAGGGTGGCTAGAGGGCTTGGACCAAGCTCCACCCACACTACCCAGGAACAAAAGATAATGATTTAATGATAATTATTTCACTTTTCTTTATGAGCTGTGATTCTGTTTGTAAATAATGGGGCTCACAAATACCTCTGGTCCTAGAGAGTTTCCACACATGCTGAACGTCCCTGCAGTTCTCTACCTATTAGGCAGTAAATGGAATCTTTTCATGCTTAGTCTAAGAGCTCTTTATACCCTAGAACGGGTGAGTCTGTCTGCAAGTCCCCTCAGGAATATTTCCCCCTACTACAAGTCACATGTGGGAGTGGGGTCCCCATGATTTTCATGTCTCCATCTCTCCTACCCTTCTCTATGTGGTTCCTCTCTCATTTCATGTGCAGAAGCTATTCAGCCCTTAGTTCTTCAAGAGGAATTGTTTTATATGTAGGTTTATATTTGTTATGTTCATGGGAGGAGGTGAGTTCTGGGTCTTCTTACACCTAAGTTCAGGGCCATATTCACCTTAATGCATTATACTTTCAGTAAAATTAAACATGGCTGTTAATTTATACCCCTAGTTCAAGTAAACCTGAAAAACCTTACCATAAACTTGCTGACTCAAGTCTGTTCTAGCAAAGATGTTTTGTAAAACACATGAGACTGTGCTGCTGAATTATATAATCTTATCATTAAATTCCAACATCATTTCCTCCATTTTATTACACAAACTTTTGGAAATCATCAAGAACCTTTATAATTATTTCTAATTATAATTTTTACAGATTTGAATTGAACAAAAGATAATGATTTAATGTTCTCTTTCACTTTTCTTTATGGGCTTTGATTCTATTTGGTTTCAAAAATAGTAAATAATATTTACCCCCTTCCTAGCCATAATATGAAGACTACAAAGAAAAAAGTTGTTTTATTCTTAGAAAAGTCACAAGCAGCTATTGCGTGTAGAGGCAGGAAGTGAAATCCATATGCAATGCTTCTGTCAGCAAAGACTTTGTAGAAGAGAGTTTATAATAAATATTCACATCTGCTGCTTTGGACACTTTAATCCATCCTAAGGATCTTTGCTGTGTCAGGCTTTGTTCTAGATGAAGAAGCCCAGTAGTTATAAAGGTTTGCAAATAAGCTATATTTATCATGGTTAGCTTTCTTTTTATAACTTTTCTCTGTCTTAGAGATATCCATGACAATTTTTAGTATAAATTGTGATTAAATATTTCACTGTGACTCTATGGTGCTATCATATAGAATTTTCATCATGGGATAGACAAATTCTATTTTCACAATATATCACCTACTTATAATTTGTCAGGAAGTCATCATTGATAACAATGCTACCTGGATGTGGAAAACATAACTCAAAGTGCTTATGATTAAATGCTAGCTTCCGCCATAGACAGGTTTCTTAATTTTTCCAAACCTCTCTTTTTTCATCTATATAATAGAGTTACTATTATTTTTTATTATTAGATTGTTATAGGGATTATATGAAATTATCCATGTTATATAACTAAATCTAGTATCTAGCATGTTGAATTTAATGAATTTTAAATGTTTACTAAAATGGTACTATATGCCTTTTAAGTTGTATTAGATAATCCCACGAATTGTACTAATATTATATTTGTTTAACCCATGTACTGAACTTATGTAAACATAATCTATTGTTTTTACTGACCTCCACATTTCCTGATAGTTTGCTACTGAATTTTTAAAACTAAAAGTAGTTAGAATTGAATTACTGATATATTTTTCCTATAACAAAATTATCCACTCATAAAAATATGGTATGAAAATCATGAGTATACTTTGTGTTGCATTTAGTTCCCTATGCAACAAAAATTTAACTAAATTTTAAATTAGAGTAATAAAAACCAAAGTTATCTTTAAAATGGAGGTATTTTCACTTCAACCCCAAAGAAATTTGTTGTGTCACAGTTTTTAAAGAATAACTGTATTATTATAGTCTTAAGTAACAATTTAGTATAATTATAATAAAACAGCTCACATATAATACAAATTTTAAAATATACGAGGCCGACGCCTTACCACTTGGCCACCGCGCCCGACAAATTTTAAAATATAAATAAATTATACACTATATATGTGTATATCTTTGCCAGGGATATATTTGAAGCTTGTGTTTTTTAAAAGGAAAGCTGTGTTGCTTAGTGCTTTCAACCTCATCTCCTCAATATTATTTATTAATCCCAAATTTAAGGAGACTCGCAGAGCATTTGATGACCTCTGCATATAAAGTCAGTAACACATTAGGTTTTACTTTTTCATTTTGAACTTTTATAATTTAATCATTCATGTGTCTTAATTTTGACTGGAATTATTTTTTATACATTCAGGACTTAGTTCATATTTAATGACTGGTATCTAACACAAAACAAGTTTGTTGAATTAAAATTAAAACAAAATATACATTGATCTCACTAGTATGTGGAATCTAATGAACAAAACAAACTAAGGAACAAAATGGAATCAGAAGCATGTATATATGGTACAAACTGGCCGGTGCCCATGGGGAGGGGGGTGCGGGTGACTGGATAAAGAAGATGAAGGGAGCCTGGCTGGCTTGGCTCAGTGGTTGATCATTGACCTATGAACCAGGAGGTCATGGTTCGATTCCTGATCAAGGCACATGCCCAGGATGCAGGCTCCATCCCCAGTAGGGGGCATGCAGGAGGCAGCTGATCAATGATTCTTTCTCATCATTGATGTTTCTATCTCTCTCTCCCTCTCCCTTCCTCTCTGAAATCAATAAAAACATATTTTTAAAAAGGTGAAGGGATCAGCTAAAGAACATATATGCATACCCATGGGCATGGACAATAGTTTGGTGAAGGCCAAAGGAGGTGGGACGTGGGAGGTGGGAGGTGGGAGTGGGTGGAGGTGGGAAAAGGCGGGGAGGAGTGGGACAGCTGCAATTATGGCAACATTAAAATTTTTTAATGCAAAACTATATATCTTATTGCTTATAAACTGTGACTGAGGAAATAAAACTTTGATATTCTCCTCTTTCTCTCTCCTCTCTCCCTCTCTCCCTCTCTCCCTCTCTCCCTCCAGGTCGAGTATTAGCTCAGGCGAGTGGCAGTGGCGTTATTCATTTGCTAGATCTTCAATCAGGGCAGATTTACAAATTGGTGGGCCATGAGAATGAAGCTCACACAGTGGTGTTTTCTCATGACGGAGAGAGTCTGTTTTCCGGAGGCTGTGATGGCACTGTTCGAGTATGGTCTTGATGGTCAGCATATCCCACTGCAGAGGGCTTTCCCTTTAAGGCTTGGAAATGCCTCATGTAGTCCCAGTCCAATAAATACCTGATTAAGTATGCGAGCAGGTAACATTTACAATTTGCTTTAAAACATGCTTTGAATATATATTTTAATGCTCATACTGTTACCAATAAAAAACAAAACTTTCTGTTCATTTATTTGTGTCTGCGTCTCTTTTTTTTTCTTATTTTGATAAGATTTTAGAAACAGAGCATTTTTGCTAGAGGTTTGGAAGAAACAGCTTTACAATGACGCCTAATGACAGACTAGATGAATTACAGGAGATTGATTTTGAATGTTAGAGAACAAACTGCAGGGGAACCAGGCTACTTTTTAAAAAATCAAATTTAAGCTTCAGGAAGACCTGGAGTTTAACCATGTAGCACAGGGAACGTGTTTCTTCAACTGAAGAGTCAATTAGAATTGGACGGCATACATTTTTGAAGATTCTTTGACAACCGTTATGCTTTATCTATTAATAATAATCAGAGACTGCAGCTGGTTTAAATCTAAATGCAAGGCTCTTCCCGAACTTTCATCACTGCAGCCCATCCCAGAATGCATTAAGTATAATTACAATGTTTATTTTCTATTGTAATTCAATGCAAATAAGTAAATAAGTATCTCGCACGTA